ATAGAGGGAAATCCGTATTTACACCGCTTTAATAACTTTATATTTCTTCAAAGAGAAAAAAAATATCAAAATCTAATGAAACATTTATAGTAATAGCGCTATTTAAAGAAAAATCAAGATCTGTTTGGTATTAGAAGAAGATAATGTGAGAGAATTGTTCGGCAATCAAACTGGTATTTAATTTTTACTTTGCCTTCCTTGTTAAGGAAACGTCTGTTTTTGAAAACGTTTTTATTTTATCCTAATTTAAAACATTATTTTACGACCTCTTCTGATCGAAATGCTCAGAGTTCATTTTTGACAATGATTTAAAAAAAATTATCTAAGGTAATAATTATGGAGCACTACAAATTGCGAGGTGTGTGAAGGCGAACCGAGTTCAAATCCCAGTCGATACGAATTCCGCATCCGCCTTGCACCGACCACAGTGCTGACGTGAGACATCCTCAGTTGTAGACGGATCATGAGTTAGACTCCCCTTGCCGTCAGGCTAACCGTGAAAGGTTCTCGTGGTCTTCCTCTCCATGTAACGCAAATATGGGTTAGCTTCATCCAAAAGTCCTCCACGAAGGGAAATTTCTCCCTATACTCGACAGAGGAGTTCCCTTGTCTTCTGGATTGGGTTCAAAATTACAAGGCTACGGAGTTGAACATTAGTATTCGTAAACCCATGAAATTGGGTCGGCTGTTCAGCAACGGTCATTTAATAACAAAATCTAATCATATCTAATGAGATATCTAATAGTATATCTAAATGAAATGTTTATTTTATTTCATTTTATCGGGAGAAAATTCTGCCACCATGTAAAGGAAACAATCTAGAACTTGCAGGGAGGTCTAATTTCTATAATTTCTATATTTATTAATTGCGAATTAAAAAAGAATAAAGTTAAATACAATTGCAGACGAACTAGAGTGTGTTTTGGAGCAAATGAGTGTTTTGGAGCAAATTTAATATTGAACATTTATATCAATTATATAAATAATTTAAAGCTTCTTTAGCTCATGACCTATTTACTTCTAGATGTTATCTAATTATATAACAATTTTCTGATTCAACGAACATTTTTCACTAAAAATTACATTTACTGAAGGAATCTTATCTGAAATAAATATTGTTTTTCAAACTTATAACATTCATATAAATTACGCTGTTTTATTTATTTTTCTTTTATCACTTCGATGTTTTTTTTTTTTNTACAGCGGGCACGATAAGTGATTGAAATAAATAAAATAAAGAAGAAGAGTTTTAATAAAATGCATGGTATAGCTACAGCTATGGCGACTGTTTAATTTGCATGTATATATAAGCTCAAATCTAATTCCCTGCTTGATTTGGGCAGATTTGTAAGCCACTCTTTCAGAGGCACCATATTAGGTGGGCCAACTTGCTCCCACAGTAAGATCAGATAGACAGAGAATGAGAGAACATCCATGGCTTGTCCGGGATTCGAACCTAGAACCTTTTAATGTGAGATCAGCTCCCTGACCACTTCATTATCAGGTCGACTTAAAGACTTCATTCGCTTCAAAAATATACTATTTGGACATAACGGTTGACGTGTTTAAGCTCTCACAAACGGGCACCCATTTTCAAAACTCGGCTGACGTGAATGAGAAGAAACAAAAGTGATTTGAAATATAAAACGTGAAGTTGCCAACGTAGCCGTAAGAGATACAAGATTTTTTTTAAAAAAAAAAAAAAAAAAAGGATTTNTTACAATTTCTGAGGCCTTTTTTTAAAAAAAAAAAAAAAAAAAAGTATCCGAGAGGGGCAAAATTTCAAATATCAGGGTATTATATCTCAAATAACTTAAGTTTCCTCTCATTCACGTCTGGCAAGTCTTAAAAATAGGCGTTTGTTTTTGAGCGCTTGAAATATATCGATTGCAATTTCAAGTAATATCTTACCTCTTCAGTTTCTTTTATTACTTATTTAAAAGCCTTACTTATTAGAATGTGAAAAAAATACTAAAGTAGAAAATAATCTTATTCTGTGTAGATTTGATCAATTAAAGTACACACATACATGTGTAGTTAAAATGAATGGTTATTTTCCATTACACAGATCTATGTCTAAATTTAGGAAGCAGCCTCTCAAAATTGTGAGAGCATGTCTTCGAATCATCCTCAGGGATGTTATTATTCAGCTCTTGTTCTACGTAAATAAAATACCTATAGATTACTTTAACTGTTTCGTTACAATGAAAATAATTTTAATGCATTTTCCTTCGTTTTCTTAACCCCTATACTTTTTACTTCTGTTCCCAAATTAATGTTCCCCAGTCTATTGTATCTAGTTTACGTTATACCCGTAGGGAAGAGTAATAAAGACTGCATTTAAATTTTCCAACTAAATTATCGCTTTAACCTTACTCATTAGTTTACTGACCTCCACACCACAGGGCTCGTTTCACACGCGAATTTCTGCAATTTTTTTTCCTTCATATTCCGCCTCAACAGGAGTGGCAATTTAGAATCACTTGACAACCTGAAATTCTCACTCGTCGTGACCGATTCTTTCTCACAGCAAATAGTCCGTTCTTGTGACTTCACCATGACCGGCGGCTATTTCTACTCCGGCGTAAAACCAGATCTTTTATTTATTTTTAATTACTACAATCTAATTTCCCACGGCAGCTAGTCTTCCATGGGGGGGAATTGGAAGAAAAAAGGAATTGTAGAGATCTTATCGATTGACTTCTTGAGCGTGACTGATGAAACGATCCTTTTGCTGATTTTGCGAAATCAGTAATTTACAGTTACTTTGGGGTCCATTCGTCTGTGTTAAAAATGGGCCAGGTTCACGATGCTTTTTGACATTATTGAATTTTATTGTTGTCTTTTTTACCCGGAGGCTGAAAGTGCCCCAAAAAGGGTTGCGTCAATAAAATTGAAATGTAGTGTGCCAACTAGTTCAGAGATCAGTTTAGATTAATCTCTGATCTGGTGTCATTAGTAAATGGAAAGCATTTAAGATTCTTTTAAATGTGTTATTTATCTAATTTTCTTCATTATACATATTAAAGATCTTCCCACTCTTGCTTAGAAATTAAAAAAGCTGAGCCAGTACAGTAGCCGCAGTGCTAAATAGTATTATCCTTTTCTTTCTTTCTCTTTTTTCCCAACAGTATTAAAGTTGCTTACCTCATTTTAATCAGTTATTCGCTTAATTTGAACCTGCTTTGGTCTTTAGTTTCTTCTTTTTCTTTCTTCCTAGCAGCAGATCCAAACTAACTAAAAAGGAAGCGAAAGCTCATTTAGTTGATGTTCTGGATTCTGAAGTATCAAAATTTTGGATGGAGCCATTGGTCATCGTAATGAAAATTCTGTTTTCCAGAATTTCAGTTTCCTTCTACATTAATATACTTTCATCATTGAGCGACTTTCTTAAATAAATAAATCGATGTGAAGAAGTGACCAATTTTTTTTTTAAAAATTAAATTTGCCATTTTTTTTATTGTTGAATCCCCATTTGTTGAGTGGTTATTTTCAGGTCTTAACTCTAGGGTCTTATTTTTCTGACATGGTATGCATTGCATCGTTTCCCTATTTTATGATCTGAAAATGTGCTTGTCTTATTATATTATATATATATAAAAAATATTTCTCATACGTCAAGCCCTTGGCAGCGATACATCGAAAATCCCTTGGTCCATCCTTTGGAGCATTGAAAAGAACAAAAAAGATAGTGATATTCTCGTTCCTGATTTTTATTTTTTTTTTATTTTGTTAAAAAAAGAAAACAAATGTCACTTATCTAAAAATAATTGGACTTACGAAGACAGATAACCACTCTAGCTATATGTTGATATTTGAAATCATAAATTTGATGTTTAGTTTTTCTAAGATCAGTTATACTATAAAGATAGTTTTATTTCGAATATTCTGCCTAAATTATTTTTAGGTAGAATAAATTCTGTAAAGATTATCCTTTCCTCAAATAAAATCTGTAAAGATTATCCTTTCTAACTTTGTATTATGTACTAGAGTGGTCATCTGTTATCTTCAGTCTAAAATGCTTTATTTAGATTTATTTTATTTCGAACATTTATTACAAATTATTTTGCATATAATTACACAAATAAAATCTGTAATTTAAAGATTATTTTGCTTAGAAAATTTTTTTTAATCTATTTTTTTTTATACTTAATTCCTAGTAATTGATTAATTTTATTTCTTCTGATGTATGGAATTGTACTAATTTTTGCGAGGTGTACATATAGATTATATAATTCTATAGATTCCTCAGTTAATAATGGGCATGTGATTATTTTACAACTTAACTACTCAGATGTTATGCACCGCATTTATCTCCTATGCAAACCAAAATTAAATATTTTTATTTTATTTAAGAAAATAAAAAAATAAAACTAATCATTCAACGAAATTGAGGTGTGTTGTTTTAAACCAATTTCCTGTTAGGGTAAACTAAGACATTTCAATTCGGATTTTGCGTGATTGTAAATTTGAAGTAAGGTCTTATGATAAATTGAAATGTATTTTTCAATTACGTTTTGATTCAAATATTTCTACCCTTCTTATATATTGTTTTAGAAATCGTACTTTAAAAAAAATAAAACTCTAATTTTAATTTTAGTATTTTCTTTACGAAAATCTATAGGAGGGGGGGGGCGTTACTGAAACCCTTTTGAGTTGTTCCGCGTAAATAAAAATCTATATTTGAAGTGACACTACAAACAACCGCGTATCATCTATGACGAATTAAAGAATAAAATGAATTTCCCAACGCGACCTCTTTTTCGAGAACAGAAATCTTGAAATTTAATTCAAAAACTGCAGAATTTCCAACTCTGTTCCCTCCATTTTAAAACCACTAAGACTGAGATATGTTTAAAGTTTGAGAACTTCTGGCTGCGAAGTACCTTAACATTATATTTATTATTTTGTTAAAAACACTGTGAATTTCGCTTGTGTGTAAGTGTTTGTATAACTTGGTCTTAAAAAATTATTTATTTCATATTTTTGTTCTTTCACAGATTTACCTACGCAGGTGCCACCGCTCACTCCTGGCACAAATCAGAAGATGGCACAAGCGCTTAGGGCCAGTTTCAGCAGCTGGGAAAAAGATCGTGTACAGAAAAATATTCCTAAAGGTTAGTTATTATTATTGCTGTTAATTATATCATTAAATAGAAAAAAGAAATCGAGTTATTATTCCAAATTATTCATACTTTATAGAATGAAATGTGATACCAGGCATCGATTATTAGGAATTAGTTTAATGTCATTTTTTTTTATACAGTGGTAGGCCATATTGTTAGACTGGTAGACGAGCAATTGTGTTAGAAACACTTGCTGCAAGACTAGAATGACTACATATTTTCATGAAATTTCTGTTCGAGTTATTGCGCTGACAGAACTCTAATGCAATTCTTATAACTTATTAACTCTAAATTATGAAGTTTTCAGCGACTTGAAAGTCGAAACGTTACTCACAAATAATGCATGCGTTCGACATGTCTGACTTATATCAGGTCTGATTTGTTTTTTATTTTATTATTTATTATAAATAACGCAATAATGTGTTGTATTTATTTAAGAATATTGTCAATTATTAGGACGAAGAGTAAAAATTGATTTTTTATAAATAAGAGATAGATTTTTTATACTTTTTTTTCCCCAGCTTGATAAAATGCTTTGAATTAAATAAATGTATTTCATTTTAATTGTTATGATTCCATTTTTAATAGCTAAATGATTGTTGATTAATTAGATAGCCATGCTGAGATTTTTAACCATATAATTAAAGTATTTTCATCAATGAATCTTATGGCACATCACTGTTGTTAATCCTCCAATTTTTCATTATCCTCAAGTGACATTAAAATCCACTTAGAACATATATTATCTTAAAAATATTTAATTACTGATTATAGACTTCTATCTTAATAATAAATTGTTATCGCGATTTTAATATACACAGAAAAAGCTGATAATTTTTTTTTAACAATGACTTTTGGAAATAGCTAACTTAAAGATTTAGTCGTTAAGTAATTGTGTGGAGTTGTGGCAAAAAAACTTGAAGTCAAACATTAAAAAAAAAGATGAATGTCGCCATATAAAAAGTACCTACCTTATAAAATAGCATATAATCCTTACTTATTCAAAGTATAAACTTTATATGTTTGAACCTAATCTATAAACTGTTTTTTTTTACTTTCAGATCCTCGCTTGTGGAAAGAGATGGATGTTGCCCATTGGCTAAATTGGGCTACTAGAGAGTTCAGTTTGGAGGGAACATCCTTACCTAATTTCAATATGTCTGGCAAAGAAATGTGTGCCCTGTCCAAAGAAGCGTTCTTGGCGAGGTCGCCACCATTTATGGGAGACATTCTCTTTGAACATTTAGATATTTTACAAAAAGGTGATTATTTTTCCTTTCCCTAATATGACAGGACTGGACGATAGCAAAATTTGAATGTCAGGAAATATCGTTAATTTGTAGTTCCTTTTATCATTATGTTTTTGTATTTACTAAAAACACGTTTTCGTTTTATTATATTTACTGTTAATTCATTTATATTCTCCAGGGTGCGTAGCGTTTTTAAAAAGTGCTTAAAGGTGCTCGTTTTCCATTTTCGTTTTTAAAAGCCCTTTGAGGTGCTTTTTTCATTGGGTGTTTTTAAAAAGTGCTTAATTTTCCCTTTTTTAAAATGAGATTTTTCCTTTACCATGTTGATTTTCGCTACGAGTTATGAAAAAAGACTACGAGGCACGCAGTTCACATTGTTCTAAAGTGCTTTTTTTGTTGAATAATTTGGCTACGCACCCTGTTCTCAAGTAAACTTTTTATTTTGTATCTAGCTCAAAATGAATGTTGAAGAAAGCAGACAAAGCTTGAAACGCAACGCTTGAAAAAATGGACACAGTTAAAAATGCGCGTTAAATTTAAAAAAAAAAATGAGGCATATTAAAATGCATGTAAAGAAAATAGACAGTGAAATGCGTGTTTCAGACATAACTTAAAATACGAAAGCCATTACAGAAAATGATCATGTCAGTTGATTTTCTAAAGCTACTGTTGCGGACTACCCATGAAATTTTAATAGAAATAAATAATATGTAATGATTGTTTGAAATTAAATTAAAAAGCTAATTTAATTTTAATAGTAATTTTGAGCAGTAGTAACGTTAACATTAAAAAAGCGCTTTGAGCAATGTTTTTTTTTCCCTCCTGCACGCATTTCCAATTTTATTTATTTTTTCTTCTTAAACGTACATTTTTATTAATGTTCACTTTTTCGAACGCACGTTTTCAGCTATGGACTTTGATTTATATTTCAAACAAATAATTCACCAACGATACAGTCATACTTCAACATTAAGTTAAATTATTTCTTGCAAATAAATGAATGTGACATATCATTTTTAGAACTACTTGCTGCTATATAATGCCGCCAATTAAAATCGCCATCCCGCGGTTAACGATTTCCTCTGTAGTTCTCTGCTCCTATTATGCTATTACTTTTAATCACCAACTTCTCCAAATGATCCCGAAAAACTGGGAGTTAGTGCTTGTGAATTCATTAGGGGTGCTACACACCCTCACTTTTTCATGCACCTGTTGATTTCCGGCTGATCTGATTTCGCTTGGCAACCGAGGACGTCACTTCCTGCTTTTTCTCTCATTTTTTTTTTATCCAAAAGAATTTCAAACTGTTCTCCTCCCCCGTCCGGCGGCCTCGGACACTACTTTTTTATTATCGACTTCTTTAGTGGACCCCGTAACAATGGGGAGGATGTGGACTGATAGGCACAAAAGGCGGGAAATGACGAAATTTTAGTATTCCAATGCCATTGAGCTAAAGATTTGGACGTGATGCGATTAAGCGAATGATGCCTATCTTGAACTGATTTCTATATTTAAATGCACGCATTAAAATGAGAAGAAAAAAAAATAATAACTAAATTTAGAAATATTTTTAAAAAAAAATTGCCGCTGAGGATTTATTCACGTTTTTTGCAAATAATAAAGGACTAACATCACGTAATCACCCTTATTACCCTTTCTAACTGATACCATACCAGGTAGAATAATTTACAAACGATTACATGTTGTAGATAATTTACTATATTTAAAGGACAGCATACTTATAAATTAAAACTAGATAAATTAGGTAAAAATTATCTTTTTATTAAGTATTTAATGTGTTTAAATGAGAATTTCAGCTTGAAGTTCACACGAGTAAAAATTTTGGCATGTTTGTAAAAAATAAAAATTCAATTTCTCGTAACCTTTTTTAACTGTACCTATCTATGTAGAATAATTAAACAAATTTTTAATTTTTCGATATAATAAATAAATAAATTAAAAAAATTTGGCTCTTTATGGATCCCTAATTCGCTTTCTATCACTTCGAAAGTTAAGCAATATGTACTTTTATTTGCAAACATTCTCCGTTTTACCCAAACATCTGATTATATTCCTTTATCTTTAAAATCTAGTAGTTAAAAATGTTTTTTTCTGTAAAACATATATCTTAACTTTATTTATTACTAATATATTTTAATTGTGAAAAAAAAAAAAGATTTTGAAATAAATAATAATAAAAAAAAGCGAAAAATGATTTTTGAGAGGAAAAAAAAATCGAGTTTTAGATGAAACGTGATAGTGTTTTATTTTTGGTCTTGTATGTGCCAGTTTTATTTATTTATCACTGCTGTTAAAATGTAAGTTTACGAAATAAAATATTGCCACAACTGAACAGTAGGAGATAACAGATATGAATCTGACGGCTGAGTTTAATTTACTTTAAAAGTATCTTGTTTCTCATATTTTAAATTTATATATTTTTTTTAGCGTTAACTGTTTTGAAGGGGTTTACTTTTTTGATTTATTGAGATCAAAAATTATCAAAGTTAACATTCTCATTTATCCTAAATCGGTTTACTTTTCTGAGAAAGAAGAAAAAAGCATAAATATTGAGCGCTATTATTTAAATTTTTTTGTTACTAAAAAAGGGATCAAAATTTAATTGAAGTAGTGAATAACTTATTGGCTTCTACGAAATATTTATGATCACACAATATTTGTCTAATAAATAATGTATTGCTTTAAACTTGTTTAATTGATAAACACAATTTTATGTTAGAAGTTATGGCTTGGTAATAATGATTTATTATGATTGCTTGAATGTTGAGTTAAAAATTATTGTGCCATTGTTTTGTGCGAATCTTCTAGTCATTAAATAGCAAAGCCGAATCGTTAGTAACTAACATGTAGAACGAATACGAATAAATAAATTTGAAAATTCGCAATGATTTTTTTTTAATTTTTTTTTTTACTTTCTGCTTTGAATTTGCCACTTTAAAAACTAACGCATGGTTAATTAATAATCCCGAAAAATAACTTCGAGATTTATTTGAAGTAAATTACAAGTTAAAGCTTTAGAATAAATGTACTAACATTTTTTTTTTAAATAATTAAATATCAGGATCAAATAAATACCCGATCTTTGAACTAACATGTATGGCTTTTTTTGAATTTAGCCGTGTTTATGTTAAGTCTTTAAAGAATTATGAAAATTTAATAAAGTAACTGCTATGAAAATTCTTAAACAGCAGAAAAAATATATATTAAAAACAGTTATCAATTGGATATTAGATCATATCTTATAACATAGTTTCCTGAATTTTAAGAAAAAGATAAATTTCTTTAAATTGAACGCTTACTTTTGTATCTTTAAAACTACCATAAAATTGAATTAAAAGTAACTGGTATGAATTCTTATACAGCTGAAAAAATTATTATTAAAAACAGTTATTAATTGGAATTTAGATCATGTAGTTTTACTTAGTTCAATTAATTTAAAATAATTAAACTAAGAATAATTAAACTTGAGGAGAATATTCTTTAAATTGAAAGCTTATCTTAATACCTTTAAAATTGCCCTAAAATTGAATTATCAAATATTCGAAGGCGCGAATCTATTTAAAAAACATTTTTTAATCCCCAATTATTTTTATGCTTGTAAAAATTTAAAAAACAATCGTAAAAATCATTCCTCTTCAGCATCCCAGAATGAAGCGCATTGGAAAATTGGGCGTTTATCCATTATTTTTGACCTATGTCATCTCTCGCCTCCATTTAACCATCAGCCCGTGACAGCATCCCCCTAAAAACATATACACTATTACGTACAGGCAAGTATGCAACCATCCGTAATTCCTCCCACACACTGGATAGAAAGATCGACAGGAATACCCTGTTGGACATGATCCACCTGTGCACTGTCCTTTAAGTCGCCACATCCTGACATTCCTCCTCCTAAAACAATAACAGTCTGCCTTGTAAACAAAACTTCTTACCATTATTATCAAAACGCGCCCCCTTCGTACCCAGGAAGAAAGTACCCGTAAGTATTTCTTTATACTTAATCGCCGCTTTTAATTTAGAATTTAATAGGGTGACAGTTAAAAGATTTTTCTAGAAGTTATGTAGTGTTTACATTTTTTTGCAATGCTTAGAAAAGTGGCATAGAAAGATATATATTGAATTATTCTTACCTTTAGCTTTGAATATCCGACCTAAATCGATAATATAAGAAAAATCAATTTTAAAAAATTAGCACTATCTATTTTACAAACGAGCTGAATTATTATCCAGAAATGATCACTAGTAGTGAGGATTATTCATCATTAATCCTATGTATGTTGAAGTAGACATCTCTAACTGCGAATTTTGGAAACTAGATGTTTCGTATTTACAATCCAACTTTGGACTCAAAACATAATTTTGATGAATACCCACTTTCGCAGATGAAATCTCTCCTCCAGAGTCACCTAATTCAAATACTTTGCTTTTATGTCATTCGATTCAGCAACATAATCCACATATTTTGTTTTTATATCTTCTGGTTTAGCAACATAATCCAAATATTTTGCTTCTATATCTTCTGGTTTAGCAACATAATCCAAATATATTTCGCTTTTATATGATTCGATTTAGCTATCTTCAAGCAATTTATCGTAAGACAGAATCACCGAATTTTGCATTCAGAATTGCAAGAATCCGCACATATCGTGATGTCATACCTAGTTCAGGCATAGTTTAAATCGAAAGTAAATAAGTTTTCTTCAAAATTGGCCTCGTTGCATAGCGTAATCCTTCAAGAAATCAAATTTCAAGACATCGTCTTAGTCTAGCTGTCTTCTCTAATATTTTCTACCTGGCACCCGTTGCTGGCAAGAAAGATCTCTTGACTGGAAATTATGTTTGGGATGTTTTTCCTTTTTTTAGAATTTTATACAACTAAAATAAAGGGGGGATGCAGGGGATTTTAAGTATTGTCGGTATTGACTAAGCCTCTTCCTTCCTCAGGATATAGGATGGCGGGATATGAAAGCAATTTTTGTCTGAATATCCCGATTGTGGACTGTCCGGGCATCCGGCGGATTCAGCATCCTTCCCTTTCCATTTCTGTGTGGGAGGATACAGAAGACAATTAAACGACATGATTTCAAGAGATTGCCATGTAGAATTAGTTGTTCGGATTTACAACAAAATTTATATTCAATGTAATTTTTACTTGTCCAACATTACCGTTAGTTGTAATCAAAGCCAACTGGGCCATTGTTTGTTGAAAACTGTTTCCCATCAGTCTCCAGTTTAGGATCAGTATTGCGTTCTAGAGTCTATTTTAACTAATATATATATATTCAGCAAAAATAAAATATATGATAAAATGAAATTTAAAAATTTTGTAATTTAAATTTTGATTTAGAAATTTCGTTTATGTCCTTTATTTTCCTAGCAGCAAAATAACTTGGGCCCTCATTGGACCGATATTCACGAATCTTGGCTCAATTACTGTTCAAAGGGCCGTGATTTTTCCGATATCGGCCCTATATAGAATTGTCCTATTCACCCGATATTTTATAATCGTTATTCGGCCAACTAAAGCCCTATATTGGTTGTATATAGTCCGGTATTGGTCCTATATAAGACCAATATTGAAAAAATCTAGACTACCCAATATTGGTCCCTCGGTGTATGTTCATATAGGACCAGTTTTAAGCCCGACTGGAACCTAGATAAAGTTGTTGCTAGGATTTCTTCATATATTTTAGTTATTATTATGATTATTAGTTTTAAGGTATAGATGTCTTTTCCTTTTTTATTCCGTATGAGCCTATTAATTTTTTTAATCTTATGTTTCATTTACAAATTTCTATGTGAGACTTAGTTTATGAACATCTCTTAAAGAACTGACTTTTTTTTCAAAAGTTTCGGAATGATTATTAAATATTTCCAAAAGTATGCTTTCTTTATACAAATAAAAGTTAAAAATAAATAATTGTAAAAACACAATGATCCTTCTTTCGGTAATAAATGGAAAACGAAAAAATAAATTAAGAAAAATAGAATAATAAAATCATGTTGTTATTGCTTAAGATTTTTAATGAAAATTGTGTGGTGGTTTTTAANCCCGATATTTTATAATCGTTATTCGGCCAACTAAAGCCCTATATTGGTTGTATATAGTCCGGTATTGGTCCTATATAAGACCAATATTGAAAAAATCTAGACTACCCAATATTGGTCCCTCGGTGTATGTTCATATAGGACCAATATCGGACCAATTTTAAGCCCGACTGGAACCTAGATAAAGTTGTTGCTAGGGTTTCTTCATAAATTTTAGTTATTATTATGATTATTAGTTTTAAGGTATAGATGTATTTTCCTTTTTTATTCCGTATGAGCCTATTAATTTTTTTAATCTTATGCTTCATTTACAAATTTCTATGTGAGACTTAGTTTATGAACATCTCTTAAAGAACTGATTTTTTTCAAAAGTTTCGGAATGATTATTAAATATTTCCAAAAGTATGCTTTCTTTATACAAATAAAAGTTAAAAATAAATAATTGTAAAAACACAATGATCCTTCTTTCGGTAATAAATGGAAAACGAAAAAATAAATTAAGAAAAATAGAATAATAAAATCATGTTGTTATTGCTTAAGATTTTTAATGAAAATTGTGTGGTGGTTTTTAACTTGTACAAAAGGTGAGTTCGTGTCTATTGGAAAGGAATAATCACTACTAAATAAGCCTCTTTTTTTTTCTTTTTCTTTTTTTTTTTAAATCGTTTTGTACCGAAATAAATCTTACCGAATATAACTGTTACACACATATTTTGATTATGACTTGGTGAAATATATTTCTTTGATCTAAATTAGTAATTTTTTTCTCTAGACGTTGAAAAAGACGACCATCCCAACCTGGAGAACGTACCTGCCAATCTCTACGAATCCGTATGCATGCCTGATTTCAACGAGTTTTTTCAACAAGGGGAAGGCTTCCCTCTCCAAGACAGCAAGAATAACTCTACAATGAATAACGGCAACCAACAACAGTATATGGACAGTAAGTAGTGTAGCATTAGTTCTTTGATTATTAATATATTTTTTTTTTACGAATCGACTTTTTATGTATCAAAACTACGTGCGTGGATTCATTTAATTAGAGAAATATGATAATACAATAATATAGGCCTCTGTCAAAGTTGATAAAAGGTGTCGTTGTAAAGGGGTACAGAACCTCCACGAAAAACCACCTCCATAAAGCAACCACTCTTCTCGAGTTGCAAGTACCCAATTGACTAGACTTCAGCAATTATATTAAGCGTTCAAATAATGAAGTTGGTAATTTGGCGAGATTTTTACATGACCGTGAAAATCATTAAAATAAATGAAAAATTCTCAAATTTTGCATATTTTTATGAATTAAGACCATTCAGCAGTCATAAGTATTCACATAAGAAAAAAAGGTATCAAAAATTCTTTCTTTTTCAGAAAACTGGCTTTTTTTTTAAAGTTGGCATTTATCGCCATTTTCATAAACCGCCTAGAGGGCGGGCACAGGACAAAAGTCATGAATAACAGTTACGAAATCACAAAAGTTATAAAAATAGTTTTATTATTCGAGTAAAAGCGTTATTTCATGAAACGAAGGGGAGCCTTCGGGGATGTACTAAGATCTATTACAGGAAGCCGGCGTTGCACACACTCACTGTTTCCAGAATACAAATGCTTTTTTATCTTAGCTTATTGGTGCTAAGTAACATTTTTCTGATTTCCAGAAATCTCTGCACTGGTTGACTGGACCTGTGGCTGTTTTTGTTCATTCAAACAAGTGTTAATTTTCATTTTAAGTTTGCTTCCTTTAGCTCACTCGCCATATGTTCATTCACAAATCTTCCCTTCCCCCCCCCCTACCACTTCCTGTTCCCCTCACCCGTAGTGTTTGGTCTCAGCAAATCGGTATACTTTACTTCGTCTGTACTCTCTGTTCATTCATTTATAAGTTTCCGGTGTCAGTAAAAAAAAAAATACCATTTTCCCCGCTATAACTGATGTTTTCATGTATTTTATACTATTTATATGAATGAAAGTTAATAATATTGCTATGTATCAACTAGTATCATCGCCTTATTTTAAGAACTTAAATTAACTCGCCTTATTTTATTTTTTTAAGTGCGTTTCATGACGATTTATTTATTTTCTAATTTAAATATCGAAAACAATATATATTAAGTAGTTTCTGTTTTTTTTTTTCCAGACATAAATTAAAGAGTTTTAGTACTAGAACTTTCAAAAATTCAGTTCTAATCTGAATGAAAATCTCCAAACTTTTTTTTAACATTTGAAAAAATTTGACTTAAATGACTTTTAATAATTTTGATAAAACTTAATTGATTTTTTTGAGGTTTCTCACGATTTATGGGTTGTATGTCGTAGCCTACTGGGTCTAAGCTTTGAGAGGCTTTTCCTTTCCTGGTCGGACTCAACTGTCGAAGGGCTAAAAAGAGAAGAAAGAAAAAAATTCTTAATATGCTCTATATCCTCGTTACAAACAAATGTATTATGGATATTTACTCTATTTAGCAGTATCTTTCGATACATGTAAAATGCAAGGCCGCTACCCAGTTACGATTTGAGATATAAAGCATGCAGTTTCAGATTTCCTATTAATTTTTTCCGACGATATAAATCCGCAATCAACCAGTTTTTGGTAGGTAGTTGTAGAGTGTGCAGTTGTATGTTTTTATATTTTTGATAAGTATCTTCGTTTTTACTCAGCGTTAAAATAAATTTTTAGCTTCATATAAATCGATTTTCATCAGTTAGAACTGAAGTAAAATTAGATTTTGTCAAATCTAAAAACTGATAAACGTGTAGTTTTCAATTCCACAGTCAAAATCACAAATCGCATAATTTTATTGCTTTAAAATTATGGGGAAAAAGTTCTAAAAACTATTAATTGCTATTCCTCCGAATTAATAAAGCAACCCTCTTTATTTTCTACTTTTTTTTTAAAAAATATTGAGCTGCTTAATAATATTTTATTTTAAAACCGTCGTTGAACAACTGACCCAATTTTGAGTTTTCGGCTACCAATATTCAAAGCCGTAGCCTTGTAATTTTGAACCCAATCCAGACAGAAACAGAAAACTTCAGGATCAATCAAATATTGGTAAAAATTTTGCTTTCGTGGAGTTTCTTTGATGGAACTAATCTGCATTTGCGTTACACGGAGAGGAAAACTACAAAAATCCTTCACGGTTAGTTTGACGGTAAATGGACTCTTACCACTGAGGATATTTTGCATCAGCATTGTGTTCGGTGCAAGCCGGGTGCGTAATTCGTATCAACCAGCCATTTCTGGGATTCGAACCCGGTTCGCTTCATTGAGAGGCGAACGCCCTATCCTCTGAGCTACCACTGCTCTGCTTAATAATATATCATATAGTCTGTTTAGTACCAAAAAATAACAGGAAAACACAAATTAAAAAATTTAATAATAACTCCTAAATCAAAGAGGCCCCTTAATCAAGCTGTGGTTATTAATATTATTTGATACAAAAAATTAAGTTCGTTGTAATGCTGAAAGCTAATTTTTTCCTGCATCATTCTTTGGAAAAAAGTAACGAATCCTTGTTTCCGAACTTCATTACATGGAACTATTTTCGTAACGTATCTGCCATTATTATCCGAGTAAGGTTTTTAAAAATCTAATTAGATAGTAATGCTTCTATTATACATAACAGTGGGCTGTGTAAATTTTATTAATTTTTCAATACACCCTGCCTAAATCTTGTCTTTTAGAGCTCCAATTTAATTATGTCTGCCCTTTATTTGCCTTGCATAACACAAAACTTAACACCGATACTAAACGGCCAGAAATAAAATATGTTTCGACGATTCATTTCTACGGGGAAAAAAACAAGAGCAAAATTTCGAACGGAAACGATTCGTTACGGAGTGCGAAGAAAATTCCCCTCTTTTTAAGCGATTATATTCACAATTCCCTGGTACTGTAGTTGAACAACCATCGCTAAGAACATTAATATAGTGTGTGACACTTGTTTTCCAATGGGCAGGGTGAACTGGATTTCCGGTAAACAAGGGAGTATGTACTAGAATATTGGAACTAAATTATTTGTTCCGGTGACTCATGTTTATCAAAATCTGGTTTTCTGTTTCATTTTCTAAAACTGAGCAGTTTCTAGTTACCTGATAAGGGGATTTGGTAAACTTTTGAAAGTGGGTTCAACTTGTTTAGTGAAGGTATTTGGTCACTTAGAGGATAAATAATACACATTCAAAATTGCTCTGAAAAGGGTTATTAAATTTACTCAGATAAAATGTCAATATTTATCTTTGTACTTACTACAAATTGTTTAATTCGCTTTTGGCACTTAACCCTTTGCATTCCGGTGTCATCTCTTAGGAGCCATTAATAGTCTCTTTTATACCCTAATAATTAGTTGCCACGCTATTTTAAAAATGATTAAAAAAAATTCATTATGTATTTTAATGGATTTAGTGCTTATAGTATTTCGAATGGCACTTTAAAGTACTCGGAGGGCAAAAAGAAATATTTTTCCGTGTAAAAACTTTCATGGCTCAAAGCTGTCCTTAAATGTCCTTAATTATTAAACATTTCAATTAACAGAACTTTTAGTGATTTTCCAAACTTTAGTTGAAGTTAACAGGAAGAATACATATTTATCTAAAAAAGAATTGAAGAAATTTCAAATTCAAAAATTATGTTATGTGCCATGAAACAAAGTAACTAACAAAATGAACGAGAAAGTCTTCGTTGCTCGTCAAGTACGATAATAATCTACTTCTAGTGTTAGAGACAATTACCCTTTATTTGAGGGTATAAAAGCATTCGATGTGAGGGAAATATATTATAAAAAGCTCCTGTCACTCTACTCCGCCTTCATCTCCGAATCATCGTATTTTGCTACTACTAAGATTTTCAATAGACTATTTTCTCTCCTTTTTTGGAAAAGAAAAAAAAAAAATGCGTAACGTTTAAAAAAAAAGAGAGAAAAAAAAGTGGAGGTTCCCCCCTCCCCCCATTTACGTAAAAGAACTAAACCATTAGAGAATCAGCAGCCTTAAATTGTCCTTAAAATGGAGTCAATTTTGTCCTTAAGTTTTATATTTTGGACTTCCAGCCTTTAACTTTTGATTTAATATGCATTCCGGTCTGTATTTTATTCAAATTGATCAAATTTCATGTATACAGTTTTAAAAAAAGAAAGAGTTATTCAAATACTATTTTTGATACTTTAATTTTAAAAGCAAGTTCCTAATTTTAAATGTGTACTCTAGTTTAATGTTCATTTTTTTTCTTTATTTATTTTTACTATTTCTCAGAAATTATTAGATTAGGAAATTTTTTTGGAGTATTTATATATTAAATACTGTTATCCTGCTTCCCCCCCCCTTTTGATCCTTATTAAAGTTAGTTTTTTGAACTCATTCGTACTTTCCAAATTCGTTAAAAACTTCTAAGAATCTTTATAATGAAACTAATGTATATGCATTTAATCTATAATCTTAATAAAAAAAATACACAATGAATTTGAAATAATTGACAATAATCCCACATACTAAGCACTGCTGTTTACGCTAGGAAAAAAAAACACCTTGATTAGGCAGGGGTCTGTTAAGAAGAAATTTGCGTCCTTTAACAAAATACCATTTCATAAAAATGGACCCTTCACAAAATATTTTAACCTAAAAACGGACCATTCACAAAATGATTTTTCTTTTAATCGGAACCTTCACGTTTGAAATGAATATTCTGCGTTCAGCAGAATAGGCTAAATACCAAATATGAATTTGTATGTTGCATCTCTAATTTAGTCGCAGCAATTACCGTTTATCTTTTAAATTTAAATTTTTTTTTAAATTATAATTTTATAGTGTTGAGCATAATCTTGTATCTCTTTACAATTTAAAAACTTCATGAAAAAGTTTTTTGCAATAACATGACCCTATTTGCACAAATTCACAAAAGCAGGACCCTAGTTGAAAGAATGTGACTTAACGTTTATTTTATATTCACAAATCACGAGTTATTTTTGTCACAATTTTACAAAAACGGACCTTTCACAAAATGTCTGGACAGACCTCTGCTAGGAAAAGGATCATATTCGTATGCGAAAATCTGAACTTCACAAAAATATTTTTCTTTTTTAAAAGCTTTCAATCTAAGTTTATTTTCATATTTCTTACAATCCAATATCTAATATATAAATACCACGCTTAATAGTTAACATTTGAAGCAAAAAAGTCCCTAAATATTCACCAGTGAAGATGCAGTACAATTCTTCTTAATTTTACTGGGCGTGTCTATAAACCATTAAATCTCTCTTTGTCCCTGGTCTTGTTTGCTATAAACTACTATTTAACTCCACCTTCCAAGGTTACGTCAGGAGAGATTTATGTTCGAAGTATATTTTTCGAATCAGAGAACAATAGACTGGGCGAAACGATATAGCTAAGTGACCTTAAACATCGTGGATGGTTACTTAATATCGCGATTTCTTTTTTTCAAACATACCTTTTTTTTTTTGAGGTCCCTCTTAATGTCCCATGTCCAGCACTGCTAAACTGAAGAAATAAGTTTCTGTTTTGAGAACGTTTCCGCTCCATTATTTGCGAACGTTATTGCGCAAAATATTTCACGTTTTTATTCAAAACAAAATTAGTTAAATACTTGGAAGAACAATAAGAATTTTGTATTATTCCGTTAATTATATTTACGAAGCGGCTCTGTTTTGTGACATTTTCTGTAGCCCAAAAGTTTTATTAGATTTGCTTAATGGTTGTCTATTGCTAAAACTTTCATCCTGAAAAAAAACTGGGGTTCGATTTCCGGTGGTGGCTTGTAGACTGCCCCGCTTCAGATCGATGGGTACCTACTCGTTTGGGAAGTAAAGACAGTCGTTGCGCTATGTTGACCCCGTTGCCTCTAACCGGCCGTTGGTCAAAAAATTCTGCAACCTTAACTTCTGCCAGACACATTTGCCAACAAAGGCCCCTAGCTAAAATGCTTGTCAAAGAAATAAGGAATTAAACACTATTTGGTTAATTTATGGAATTAACAAAATTAAATTACTATCAATTTTTGGGCCATGGTGGCTCACGAGATAAAGTACCCGCCTCTAGTTTAGGTAACCCAAGTTCGAATACCAGCGATGGCTGATCGATACGAAATTCTGCTCCACACACACACCACAGTGATACCACAATGCTGACATGAAATATCCTTAGTGTAAGATAGATCGTGTGTTAAGAGTCCCCTTACGTTGGGCTATCCGTTTGAGGTTTTCCTCTCCGTGTAACGCAAATGCGAGTTATTTTTCTGTATAAATCCTCCAGGAAAACAATTTACATTCAAATGCTTGGTCTAGGACAGTGTTTCCCAAAGTGTGGTAGGCGTACCCCCAGGGGTACAGGAACAGTTAGTGGGGGTACGCGTTCTTATGCGAAATATCTTGCAACAAACTAAAATTTCAAAAATTTTTATTTAAAAACAAAGCTAGCCATGAAAATTACAATTACGTATTTTTCTATTGGCTATTTTTTGCAGAGTTAACAGTTAATAATTAGTGGTGCCAACGGCCAGTTGTGATTTTTAACTTTTGTGCAATATTTTTATAGTAAAAAATACATTTTTTTTATTAGTGGTACAGAGCGTTACGAAAAATTTAGAAAGGGTACACAGAAGTCAAAAGTTTGGGAAACATTGGTCTAGGAAATAGTTTGTCTTCTGGGTGAGATTCAAAATTACAAGGCTATGAATTTCAACCTTAACAGTAGTAGTAAACTCCTAATAGGGTCGAACATAAATATATATATATATATCTAAACAGTTTATGTTCATATTAGAAAAACGTTATATGTACCCAATTTTTCTCAGGGGGGGGGGGGNTTCTCAGGTGGGGGGGGGGGGCATTTTACCCAATCTTAAATAAAAATGAAAGTTCTGAGTATTAGAATAAGTATATATACTATAGATGAAGACAAAAACGACTTTAAAATAAAGATGAAAACCTTAACATCAAGCAAATAAGTAAATAATTTTTATGAATTAATTTATTATTTGTCTTCACCTGAAATATTGGGTGTGTGGGTACTTGCAAAAATAGCTCAAAAACAAACAAGATAGTCAATTTAATACTAAATTTCATTTAAAAAATTAAAAATAGTCTTTCTTATTATTTCAGATTTCTTTAAGGTATTATAAAAAATTAATTTTCAAAAAATTTCTTTAAAAAAACCATATTTTAAAAGAAATATAATATATTTCCAATTCTGTGAGTAAACAAATGAATTTATATTTTATTATTTGGAAATTAATTTATGTAATATTTAAATTATACAAAACTATAAAAAATCATGCTTTAATTGAATGCTGAAATAATATTTAGTATCTCTATTTAGGTAGTACAAATAGAGGTATAAGTCTTATAATGCCAAAAAATAAACGTTTTTTAATGTNTGTTTCAATTTTATCTTTAATTTATTTTAGATGGATACAACCATGTTGCACATTCTATGCATGGCTTACACGATGTTAGTCACGAGGACATGATACATTATGATGATAATCATGACTATGGTTTGGAAACTCCAAATTCTCACGCTCATTATATAGACAGCAGCCCTGAATTCTACCCTAATCAACAATCACTAAATATTGGACAAGATACCAAGTTCCAACCTACATTTCATGGAAAGAATTTTTCGCGAGGTATTTAATTTAGAATGTTTTTATGTTAATTAACTGTATTTTTAACATTCACAATAAATTAGTTGACAAAATCTTTAAAGAAAAACATGGTTTAAATATTGAGATTTATGGAATAGTATAGTATAAACCAACATTTTTAGGTAATTCCCTAACCTAATGTTAAAAACGTTAAAGAAAACTTATGAGGCCGTTCAAAAAGTATGTACACAAAAATGGAGAAATTTTAACACCCTCCCCCCCCCCTTCCTACATTACCGTACATAAGGTCTTACTCCCCCCTCCCTAGAGTACATACATTTTATTAGTCTACCCCCCTTTTTCATAAAAATTAAAATAATTATGTTTTAAATAAAGTTAAATATTTATTTAAAATAATATATTCATCAAAGTCAAATTTAAATTTGATATATGCTTATAATGTACGTACTTTGTATAATAAATTCTCCCCATCGTACAAAATAGCAAATCCCCTCCCCCTTCGAGATGTACATACTTTTTGAACGGCCTTTATTTATATTTTATGAAACTTAGAAAGTATTAGAAAAGAAAAATAATTATGAAAATGTCCTGTTTATAAAATTTCTTGTCCAAAAAATAGTATTTTTGTAATTTTATAAATTCAATCAACTAAAGCTGCTGTGTACTGTTTTTTCGGAAGCAAGAAAATTTATTCTAACTAGGTTATTAAGTTATATGTATATATTTCTTCACCTTCAAATCTCACTTGGGGGAGGATAATTTAAAAACAATATTTTTTTACATATTATAAAATTAATTTTAAAATCGAATAATAATATAAATGTAAATTAGCATACAGAGTGTACTTTTTAAGTGCAAATATTTATTGTCTGCAGGAGTTATGACTTTGATTTGTTTTTTCTTAAATAATTTTAAAGCTTTTCTGAAAGAAAAAAAATTTTTTTTTTTCTTTTTGTACTATTCTATTTCTTTTATTAATTACACTCTTAATATCAATTATTTTTGTGTATAATATTACCTTATCACTTTAATTAGCTGGGGAATTTAACATGTATTCTAACTGAACTTTTGCTTTTGGAAGTGGTGTAATTTTTTCTCTTCCTTCTTTGATAGGTCGATTCACGCCACATGACTTAGGTTTGCCTGATGGTTATAATTCTCATCATTATGATTCAACATTTCAAACAGTACCATCATCCGTACCTCCTTCACCTGACCAATGGCCTGCTGACCTTAGCCATGGTACAAACAATTCTATTCCCAATGGTCATCACAACTCTCATCATCACCAAACTCATCCCGCATTTGCTACACTGCAAACTAGAGAATCCCCTTTATCACATCTGGGACATGTGCAAAATTCATCGCCTGGCCACGTGCAAGGTCAACAGGGTTGTGATGTTAAGCCTGTAATACAAGCCGCTGTTCTTGCTGGTCAGTACCTACATGTTTAACATTTTTGAAGCATTATTCTGTGCAGTTTTTTTTTTTATATTAAATATATTTAGTTTTGATGTGTTTGTAAATATATATATATATATATTGTTATTTGAAATTACTTAAAATTGCGTAGTAATGGTATTTTATACATAATGTAATATAGTAATTCGAATTACAGAAAAATTTATTAATTTTTCGCAGTAGCTAACTATTCAGATGTTTATGAAGGTTTAAACTAGTTTTTGTATTGTTTGTTCTGCAACTTTTTTGTTATTAAAAATATAGAGTCGTGCTTAAAACTGAGTTAGAAAAATATGAAATGTATAGTCATATATAATAGATATTTAAAAAAAGAAAAAAACAGGACGCTTATACAATGTGTTCACAAGCTATTACTTAGTTATTATTATAATCTAGAACTTAGATTCCGAACATATTTTAACTCAACGCCTACTTTGCATTATTTTTTTCAACGTCCTCTTAAAAATTTTTAGCTGACATTTACTAAACAATTTAATCAAAAAAGTTTGAAACTTTGTTATTTGGGATTTTTTTTTTAGTTTGATTATTTTTTTTATAAAATTTACTAAAGAAAGAAACATTTACTATGAACTCTCCTAAGTAGAGCATGAGTAGAGAATTCTTGTAAAATAATAGTTACAATTATTGTTACATAATATTGTTATATTATTAAATACAAAATAGTTATCAAACAAATTTGTTTAAAATTCAAAAATAAAAGTTTTAGTTTTAAAGGAAAAAAGTATTCCCTCAAACTTTCAAGTGTAAAACGTTTTTTGAGTAGAACAGCATATAAAGTATCATTTACACAATAAAATTGGTCAGTAATTTTTTCTCAATAAATTTCTGAATTAAGTGCTTTAATAACATGTAATTTATGTAGAGTTAATGTTTTTTTTTTTTGTGTAAAAATTAATTTTAGATTGCTCTTTATATTTAAAGAAATTTTTTATTGTATTTTACACTTCTCTAGGAAATCCCACTGAAAGTCTTTGACACCCACTGTGGGGGGTGTCCATATTGAGAACCTAGGCTTCCTCTTTGACTTAAAATAATTCCTTTTATTTTTTTCATTTTAATTCTTTTTTTTTTAATGTTGAAGACTTATTGGAGACAAAATCTTAGTTTATAACTTATGGATATGTTATGTAAAATATTACTGAGTTTCTGAGATCTGCTTTAAGATGCGTAGACAGACATCGTTATTCTTTTGAAAGTCACCTTTAATAACAATAAAATTAATGGATTTTTATACCTTCATAATATCTAGTAATTTAACTGTTTCCTTTGACATGCTATTAAACTCTTCTAACATTATAAGAAACAGAAAATGAATAAGATTAATATTTTAGAATGAAAATTTTAAATGAGTGTGAATAAAATTGCTACTGCATTCATATAGCTTTTTAGCATTTCCAATTCAATGTTTAAATGTTTTCTTTTAATTTTCAGGAAGTGGTCCTATTCAACTGTGGCAATTTCTTCTCGAGCTTCTAACTGACAAATCTTGCCAAGGCTTCATAAGTTGGACTGGAGATGGCTGGGAATTCAAGCTCACCGACCCGGATGAAGTGGCGAGGCGCTGGGGCGTTCGCAAAAACAAACCTAAAATGAACTATGAAAAACTTAGCCGAGGCCTGAGATACTACTATGACAAAAACATAATTCACAAAACTGCTGGAAAACGATACGTCTATCGCTTCGTGTGTGATCTCCAGAATCTACTCGGGTACACGCCAGAAGAACTTCACGCCATGGTTGATTTAAAACCCGAGAAGAAAGATGATGAATAAAGAAAGATACCCACCTTTTTTTTAAAAAAAAATATTTGTATGGATTTGGGCTGTAAATGAATTTATATTACGAAAGTTTTGTTACATAAATTACCACCGGAGCCCAACGACAAATCGATGGCCAACTTTATTAGAAGCCCCCTTTCTTGATGTAGTGATATTGTAAAGGCTTTGATTACATTTGCGTATGATAGGCATTTGTCAATCTTATACCTTTCTAGTCTTTTGCATAAATCCTTAATATCTCTTTTTAAGGTATTTTCTGCATATATCTTATATACTTTGCATATATAAGCAATCGCTTCATATATAACGTATATGATGTGCTAAATTACTTTTAAAGTCTACATTTTACAGAGGTATTCTTTTTACCTCATTTTGATCTCAAAATAATTTGTGTGCTATATTTTTTTTTATTTTTGAACATGCTGCATGTACCAAAGTATCTTGGAAATAAGATTGCTAGGATGCTTAAAGGCAATATACCTTCATTTTTTTAAAAAGACAGGTTAGTGACTGAGGGTTGAAAGCGATTTGAAATTTTTTCTCTTCCATTCGGGGCTGATGTCGAAGTTGGCCAATCGGACTCGAGTTTAGTGTTCTCCCAGTGATTTATGTTATTGGTATATATCATGATTTTATAGCATCTGCTATTATGCTCTTTTTTTTTTCTTTTCGAATCCATGAATGTTGTTTGTTTACAAAGCTTTTTCCAAAGTGGCTTATATATGAGTAGATATTGTTATGTGTGATTGCAAACTGACTGCAGTATTTGTGATGCTTCAAATATGTAAAGGCTATATTGTAAATTACTATTTGTTGTTTATCGGTAATAGTATTACCCTACACTTCAATCGAATTTAAAGCTGCTGTGAGCTAGTTCGAATACTCGGCTATTATATTAATTATTGAATACAGTTTGTGAACATTTTTAGTTAGTATTTTGTATATAGGAGAATCATTAGAACTTATGCGTAATGTTATGTTCGTAATTAAAAAAATCCATAATTAACTGGTGTACATGGTTATTGGTTGCACCTATTATAAGTGTGTATAAAGTAGCACTTTGCTAATGCTTTGTTGTCTAAGAAGTGTATGTTTTGTTTTATAGTAATAAAAGTTTGTAACTTTGTTCATATTATTAATTTGCATCTTTACGAAGTTATGATTCATAAATGAATTTACAAAAAATCTAATAGTTAATATTCTTGAAGTTTAGGATTGTATTTTATCAATTTGTGTAAACCTAAAATCAAATTCATATAAATTATATTGTGATCCAAAATAGACTTTTTTCGGTCACATATAAATAATATTTAGTGCAGAGTGATAAATAAAGGCCATTCAACTATAAGTTATATAAGATGGAAATGGATTAATTATTACAAAAATAAAAAATCTAATGTTTGAATTCAAAATGTCATTTATGTTGTAATTTAAATTTTTTTCAGTTACATTTAAGTAATTAGTGCAGAATGTTAAATAAGGGTGATTTAACTGTAAGTTATTTTTGTTCAAGTTATAAGATAAAATTAAATTGAATATTATAAAAAATAAGATTAAATATTAGAAAAATACACGATCTAATCTTGGAATTCATAATGTCATTTATATTGTTAAAAATATTATTTAAATAATTTATATATTAATAAAATAATTGTCTTCAGTTACACGTAAATAATATGTTGTGCGAAAAGATATTTGTCACAAATTTTAGTTTTTTTATTAATTATTTTGGCAAATTTCATGAAATAATTGTAAAAAATTTTTTTGTAATTATTGTGAATTTTATGTATGGATGAGTGCATGGTGCTAAAGGAAGTTATAAGATATTAACGCATAGTAAAAATAACGTTTTATTGAGTTTGTACAAAATGTAGTAAGAAATTGGATATTTTGAGCTATTTACATTTGTATTATTATTGCTCATCAGGTTTTTTTTTTTAAAAAAAAGAAAGCAATATATTTTTATGCATATTTATTATTGAAATTACGTGTTATACAGAATAATTAAACAGCCTCCATTTCATCATTATTAGTGTTATGTATTTTTTGAGAATATTAAATCTTATCATTAAAATCTTTTATTAAAATTTTGGTGTATCGTTGTTTCCGCATGTGCCTTACCGGTAACTAAACTGCTGTAAGCCATAACCCCCTAATCATGTCCTTTCATTTATATGTGATGTGCTTTCTGTGTTAAGATCCGGAATTCTGTGTTTTCGAGAATGGTCTTCCAGAGATGTATTTTTTATTTGTCATCTTGAACGCACATGTAAGCTCTGGAAAAATTGATCCATCTACTTATAAAAATAAAGATAATGTGTGACAATTTACGTCCTATTATTTCGAATGTTTCTAATGCATTTTTGACACTATTATGACTATTAAGAAGACAGTTTAAGTGCTTTAAACTCAAAGCAAGATTTTAATTTTAAGCTATATGCAGGGTTCATAGCCAAATTTTCAACAAAAAAAACAAAAAAAAAAAANAAAAAAAAAAAAAAAAAAAAAAAAAAAAAAAAAAAAAAAATAGCACTTCAAAATATTTTTAAGCATTTTTTTCAAAAAAAAGTGAAACAATAAGAAAATCAGTATAGCAGTGTTTTTAAAAAGTTCTTATTTTTGATTTACTTTTTTTAAAGGCATGCTAGGTGCTTAGCCAAATTTTCCACGAAAAAAATAAGCAGTCAAAAAATATTTTTAAGCTTTTTTCCAAAGAAGTGAAAAGAAAAGAAAATCATAATAAGGTATGCAAGGTTTTTAAAAGCCCTTAACATAATACGGAATGCATAGCCAAATTTTCCAAAAAAAAAAGCACTCAAAAAAATTTTTTTAAGCATTTTTTCAACAAAAAAAAGTGAAACGATAAGAAAATTATAATAGCAGGGTTTTAAAAAGTTTTTGTTTCTGATTTACGTTTTTTTCAAACCCTCAAAGACATGCTAGGTGCGCAGCAAAATTTTTCACGAAAAAATAAGCAATTAAAAAAATACTACTAAGCTTTTTTCCAAAAAAAATGAAAAGAAAATCGTAATAACAAGTTATGCAAGGCTTTATAAAACGTGCTTATTTTTGATTTACGTTTTTTAAAAACCCTGAACATAATACAGGATGCATAGCCAAATTTTCCAGAAAAAAAAGCACTCAAAAAATAATTTTAAGTACTATTTTTCAAAAAAGTAAAAAAATAAAATTTTGTTACAGATACAGGGTACATAGCATTTTTAAAAAGTGCTACAAGGTGTTTATTTTATATTTATGTTTTTAATAGAACTTAAAGGTGCTTTTTCGTTGGGAGTTAGAAAAAAAGTGCTTAATTTTTTATCTTTCAAAATTGCATTTTTGCTGGTACTATTATCAAAATGGTATAAGTGCTGCATTAAATTACAAAAATAGGATTTTTCAAACTTTTCTCTGCTCCGTTTATCTAAAACAAGTTATTTTATCACGATTATATAAAGTCTTTGAAAATATTTTTGCATTTTAATGATATTTTGTATGTAAATGAAGAATTTTAAACATTAAAAATGTTTTTGAGTGTTTGAAAAGCGCTTGTTTTTTGTTAAAAAATCTGGCTATGCACTCTAAGAAAAATATTTTCTTATTGATAAAAGTTCTTCAACTATGTGTACATAAAATTAGCAAAACTTTTTCAGACTTAGCAAAACTATGATAAAATAACTAGTTTCTGCCAAATAACTCTATTCTTGATTTTATTAAACACAATAAAAAAACATTTTACTCACAATTTTAAACATATTTCATACAGAGTTGATAATTATATTTTTTAAATTATTAATCAAATTATTTTAAATTAATTTTATTTTTAAATTTATTATAATTATTTGAAATGTTTATTTAAAAACATTTATAAGATTATAATAATTATTGATCATACTGAATTGATAAAAACGTGTGGAGAATTTAGTAAGCTAAAAAAAAATCTAAATGAATACATAATTCAAATGTAAATCAGTGACCCCCTATTAATTATTAAAATTTCTAATTTGGTTTTGTGTTTCTTAAATGTAATGATAAAAAACATTTTTCAATAATTTTGAAATGAAAATAGAATAAGTATTAATGTTAAATATTTTTGTCCTAAGGAAATTATTATATGACTCCGATATTGACTATGCTTAACAAAGCAAAAATAGCTGAATTATTAACTTTATTAAAGCACTTTATGAAATTACGTGTTATTAAAGCACTTAATTCAGAAATTCATTGAGAAAAAATTACTGACCAATTTTATTGTGTAAATGATACTTTATTTGCTGTTCTACTCAAAAAACGTTTTACACTTGAAAGTTTGAGGGGATACTTTTTTCCTTTAAAACTAAAACTTTTATTTTCGAATTTTAAACTAATTTGTTTGATAACTATTTTGTATTTAATAATATAACAATATTATGTAGCAATAATTGTAAATATTATTTTACAAGAATTCTCTGCTCATGCTCTACTTAGGAGAGTTCATAGTAAATGTTTCTTTCTTTAGTAAATTTCATAAAAAAAATAATCAAACTAAAAAAAAATCCCAAATAACAAAGTTTCAAACTTTTTTGATTAAATTGTTTAGTAAATGTCAGCTAAAAAATTTTAAGAGGACGTTGAAAAAAATAATGCAAAGTAGGCGTTGAGTTAAAAAATGTTCGGAACCTAAGTTCTAGATTATAATAATAACTAAGTAATAGNTTTTTTTTTTTTTTTTTTTTTTTTTTTTTTTTTTTTTTTTTTTTAAATATCTATTATATGACTATACATTTCATATTTTTTTAACTCAGTTTTAAGCACGACTCCATATTTTTAATAACAAAAATGTTGCAGCACAAAACGAACAAACAATACAAAACCTATTTTAAACCTTCATAAACCTCTGAATAGTTAGCTACTGCGAAAAATTAATATATTTTTGTCCTAAGGAAATTATTATATGACTCCGATATTGACACAAAGCAAAAATAGCTGAATTATTAACCTCAATAATTTTTTTTAAATTGAATGATAGAGAAAGAAATTATTTTCCTTTGAAATGATTATTCTAAATTTCCAATAGCATTTGCTAAATATTAAAAAATTAATGATCCCTCGATTCTTTTTTTTTTAAAATCTTGCTTCTGAATCCATTAAGTTTTTCTTTCAAATTAAGATTGTTTTTTTATTTTATAACCATCGTTGAACAGCCGACCCAATTTGATGGGTTTACGACTACTAATGTTCAACTCCGTAGCCTTGTAATTTTGAACCCAATCCAGAATACTAGGTAACTCCTGGATCGAGTATTGAGAGAAATTTGCCTTCGTGGAGGACTTTTTGATGGAGCTAACCCGCATTTGCGTTATACGGAGAGAAAGACCACGAGAGCCTCCCACGGTTAGCCTGACCGCAAGGGGACTCTAACCCAAGATTCGTCTACCACTGAGACGTCAGCACTGTGGTCGGTGCATGCCGGGTGCGGAATTCGTATCGACTGTTATTCGAATCCGATTTGCCGCATTTGAAGGAGAACACTCTATCCCCTGAGCTAGTTGGCCATGCCTGAGCCATCGCAGCTCAAATTAAGAATTTTAAAAAATAATCCAGTAAAATAAGACTAGATTTTTTTTAAATGTTTTATTTAATTAATCAACGGTCAATCAAGCGCAACCGCTCATGATTAAAAAATCTCAATTCATATCTTTATTGAATCAAGTGATGAATGAATTAAAAACGAAATTTTCAAAGTGATAAAGATCTGTGATGGCCCACAGCTTTGGACCTACATGAAAATACTTTATTAGTGAATGATCCTCAAATCATAAGGAAAGATTGTGAAACTGATCTATAAGTAGAACAGAGCAAGAGCTTCCATCGGCTTGGATATGCCTATGGGGAAGACAATAGCGCTTAACAATGAACAAAATAATTAACAAGAAAGAAAAATAAAATGTTCATACGTTATCGGGAAAATTTTTTTAGTTGGTTTCTATGATTAGCAAAAATTTCAGAGATTTTGGGCTGAATTCGGCCTGAAATCAAAATTCTCTAGCTAAGTGTAGTAGAGTTGCACTAGTGATTACGAAAATGCTTTCCGTTGAATTCAGCTCAGTTAACGCGCATAAAGACCTGCGAATAATTAATTCATCCCACCTAGAAAAGTATTGGCCGAGCGGTCAGCTTTGTAACTTAGCTACCACTCCAATTCACTAGTATATGAGACATGAGGTATCTTTTGATAAATGAATTTGTCGGTAACATTCTTCCCTCATTGGGAATTAATCGGACGTGCACTGAACACGACTGAAACTCCTATTGCGATGTGAACACACCTTGTTCGATGGATAGTCCACACTGAATACTTGACTTGCCATTTGTGACTACCACATTGTCCTCGCTTCGTTTCTTATAAGTCTCGATCACATACAACGGAGGACTGTACTCACTCAACTGCTAATAACAACATCGGCGAAACCACGCATACAATCGCGATCTTAATACAAATCCAAGTCCGGTGATCTTAATACAGCTCTCCCGGCGTCTCACAAAACAGCAATGAATCAACTAGTGGTGTCCATTCATCGAATTCACCCCCAGATAAAATTCTTGTGGGGGAGTATTGTAACATAGCTATCAATACAATAATTCAATTTCAATTCACTGGTATACAATCTATGCTAATTCAGTTCTATCTGGAGGTACATTTTGATTGAGGTTGATATTGTCGGTAGCGTACACCTCAGAGCTTAACTACGAAGCCAATGGTTGCGGGTTTGAATCCCACTCAGGGCAAATATGTTTCTGTCTGTGTGTTGTTCTATGTTGTATGAATGTGACCTACCCCTATCTGAGGCGTGGACAATTCTGCTCGCCTCATTGACTTAGGTTCATAGGTGTCCACCGGGTAACATTAAAGAGAAAGCACTTCCAACATCTCTCACGGCAAATGACAAAAAATCAGTGCCTGCCGTTAAAAAAAATAATTGGCTCTTTTGTACCATACGGATGATGACGGTCTAATCAAAATCCAAAATCATACCTGCCAACTTTGGATAAATAAAATAACGGAGATTTTACTAACCGACCCAATTTTGGTTTTACCACTACTGATGTTCAACTCCGTAGCTTTGTAATTTTGAACCCAATCCAGAAGACAAGGGAATTCCTGAATCAAGTATTAGGAGAAATTTGTCTTCGTGGAGAACTTTTTGGTGGAACTAACCCGCATTTGTGTTACATGGAGAGGAAAACCTCCCATGGTTAGCCTGACGGTAAGAAGACTCTAACCCATGATCCATCTACCATTGAGGATATTTTACGTCAGCACTGTAGTCGTTGCAAGCTGGATGC